TTGCGAGTGTCCATGGGCGGCGCTGATTGCTTACCACCAGGTAATCCGTCTGCTCGTTTGCCGAGCTATTACATAAAAAAAAATGGCAATATCTAGTTTTTTGTCTGTTTACATTTCTTATGAGATTTTTAATAGGAAGTGATACTGAGACAAGTAACACAATATATCTGATCTGCACTGTCCGTAAACCAACATGGACCCACCACACTAAGGAATTTCCAAATGCGATCTTAACTTTTTGTAGGGAAGCAGCCTTCGGTGTGTCCTCCTCTTTAAGGGCAAAGATGAATTGGGATAAAGCTATGGGGAGAGAAAGACCTTTATTGGAATAGCTTACCTTAACCTCTCTAATTACCCAGACCCGAGCGTACGGCGCGTAGCGTTCCACAAAGAGCCAATAGACCACCAAAGACGGGGCACTATAGGGCTGATGTACAGCCGGGGTTGCGGGGTAAGCGCAATGAGGCATCGTGACCTCGGCCCAGAGCAGGAGAAGGAACCGAGGGTCAGCAAGAGTCTGACACTCCCTCCCACCCGCTTTGGGCAGGAGAAGTCATTTGATGATTTTCCCCTGTCAAAAAAAACCTCTCTAATCATATAAGGTATAGGACTGATGTTCAGCCAGGATTACAGGTTAAGCGAAATTATGTACCGCGGCCTCGGCCTGAAGCGGGAGAAAGAACGGGGTTGGTTTTTAGTCAGTAAGAATCTGACATCCCCCACCTGTGGCGATTGAAGTCGTTTCATGTTGTTCCCACTAAAAAAGTCAGACGTAAAATAAGTTTTACCTACCAAAAATCATCGCAGGTTATCCTCTATATCTATCATCCTAATTGAACACCGTAATACAATTTTTATCAACAACTAGCGGCCGCCCCCGCTTCGCACGGGTCCAATTATCTCGCTATCAAAGGTTCACTTTTTCCCAATCTTCCCCTCAACTTTTCTTATATTTTCTTTGATAAGAACCTTCTCCTAACAATAACAAAAAAAGAATTAGCAAAATTGGTCCAGGCGTTGTTGAGTTATGCGCTTACCAACACATTTTGCGATTCATTTTTATATTATAGATATTGTTATTATTAACTCAAATATCATTACTTGGCTAGACATATTATGTAAGTTTATGTAACATACATTAACAATACTTGAGTATACATAGGTATGTTATAATAAGCCGTCCTTGTCGGGTCAAGGTAACTATGTATTAGATATGTATTGGAAAAAAGTTACGCCGTCTAATAATTGAAATGTTATACAAACTTATTTCATTACTTCGGTACTTCATTTAATTATATTTATGTTTGTCGTATTACGATTTTATTGTGACTGTCTTCGAACCAGCATTCGAACTCCAAATCAGAGACGGGCAGTTATAATAATGGCTTGCTTGTAGTTAGATAAGACTTCATCTAGACAGCTTCATCTAGATTTTTGTGGTAATAATGTTGACGTGTAAAAGTGGTGTTTTTAGCTTAATTAAAATAATATTGTTTTTATGAAGGATCAGGATCTAAATGACCAGCGCCACCCATGGACACCCGCAACTACACTACAGGCTACATTTCATAGAATCTAGCCATCCTTGTTTCACTATTTCGAACATTTGACAGACTATAGCAAAAGAACTCTATTTTCGGTTTCCAAAATACTTCACCTTCTAAGTGATTATCGAAATTCTTTTTAATAGGTATAGAGGACCTATCATACGGCCTTATAATGGAGTGGATTTTCGATTGCGGTAACTACTAACCAGAGAACAAAAAAACCTTACAAAATATGTATGAGACAATTTGTAATCACACTACACATTATACCTCTCTACTAAAATATTCAACCTTCATTATCGTTATAAAGCAAACACAGATGTTGTATAATTAGTTCTAATAATCTAATTATAATTTAACTAAACATTGCGTAAGTTGTTAATCATTATCCACTTGTAATGTAATTAAGCATGAATTATTATAGTGTAATGTAAAGCATGATAATGAACTACAAATTGTTGGTACAATTTCTGTGTCAAAGCCAATTTTTACGGTACCATATAAGGGGCCATGTTCAATTTCATGCAAGTGTGGTAGCTTCGGCACGAATGGGTCGGCTCAACCGGAGTGCACAGAAAACCGGTGTTTGTTTCACACCGGTTTTCTGTTGTTGTGTTGCGCCGTGTGAGTGATGTTACCGGAGGCCCAATCCTTCTTCTCGGTCAATCCCTAAATTATAAGGTCGGCAACGCACTCGTAATTATTTTGTTGTTGCGGGTGTCTATGGGCGGCGCTGATTGGTAACAATCAGGTGATTTGTCTACTCGTTTTTTAATTTGCCATCCTATCACATATAAAAACCTTCATGTAAGAGGATCATGCAACAAAACATTTTTCTTTTTTTTATTGACGCCACTTACACTGCAGTAATTGTGCCCACACAAATTGGTGCGTCGCCTGCATGATTATCTCAAAAAGGTTCACCTCCCCTTACTACTCCAGAAACTTATTAACCAAAATTCTCGTTCAAAATCTCGTGCCGTTGTTATCGCAAATTATGTTCTAATATCACACACGCGTTGACAGACCGCCATCTAATGAAAATGTAAACCCAAAACTTGGCAAGTGAACTGTTGCTTATTTAGGGTTGACGCGCACCCGGTAATGCATAATAAAGTTGTTAGGAACGCAAGCTGGCACGCTGCCAACTTGCCATCCCTGATGGCAATTCGCTGATAAACTTCTTCGGTACAAAAATTCGCACTTCTTTGTTCCACAGCAATGCATGCAAATAGAATCACGCTTTATTTGCCAACTGCGATGTTATGGAGTCCCTCTATCATATTTTATTCTAAACGGTGGGGAAAATTTGTATTTGCTATTTTAATCAAAATTCTTAACTATCGTTATAAAAGCTATTCAAAAGCTGACGTTTAATAAAGTGCTCTTTACTTATTGTTAAGACAGTTTAAATATTACAGAACAATAATTGTTTTGTTTTGTAATGTAGGATTCTGTTATTATAATTTTAATATACTTTCTCTACATCTTTGTATTTTCTAGAGATCCAAGATTCTAAACAAACTATTCATTTTCAGTAAAAGTTACGTACAAATAGGTAATACGAATAAAAATAGTTTTTGTATTATATTTCTTATTTCAAATTCAATTATATTAATTCCATAGTTTATTCAGGAGATAGAAGAATGAACCTTATATTAAGCCACTGAAAACACTTCGATTGTTTTCATAGAAAATATAGAGTAAAACAAACAAATTCGCCATGTAAATGATATCGATATATTCTCACTCGGATAAACTATTTTACTGGATAAATAAAGGGAATTCTGGGTATATCGATACCTCTTGGATCCTTTAGTTTGGAACAAATAGCGTTGAAGAAATAAAACGTAGGTGTACGGAACTCACTTCATAGTGATTCGTCACTCTAACAGTCTTTTTTCGAAACTTTTTAAAATTCCTCTGGGACCAAAGTTGGTTCCGAATAAAATGGCTAGAATATGTACAACATTATTATAATAGAATATATTTTAATGGCATGAATGAATTTTTTAAAACTGAATTCATAATGGACATAAATGTATATCATTGTGCATAATTCTGCCTTCTTTTAACCCCATAAGGTCTCTTTTTATCTCTTAAGGCCGAGACAGTGGTACATTATTGCGCTTGCACGCTCAAATTAATTCATTAATAAGTAAGACAAATTATCAAAACGTCCCTAAACTTTTAGTGTTTTAACAGTTACAAAATAAAAACTCAACAGGTCTTTTGAAAAAATTATCGCAGGAAAATCTGATCATGGATGGATGGGGATCCATGATTAAAAACAACTCAGAAATAACCAAAATGAATATTAAATTGCATCAAGGACAGGACAGTTTCATGAATAAATAATAATATGAACTTCCATCGTTAAAAGTTGGCATCGGAACTTGACCAAACTTGTATAACTGAACGACGTTTTTCGATCCACAATTTCGCGGTTCTTTCACTGAATGCTGTACAAACGGAGGCTCGTATATTTCTTGTCGGGAGTTAGATTAGAGGGCTCTCAGACTCAAAAGATTTATGACGCCAATACTAAGTCGATTCAGAACGTTTCGGTACCGTTCACAGTTCCTGCTATCAATCCTGATTTAATGTTTCCAAAGTCGACAATTTTACAGGCACAAAAGGAATTCGGTGATTGTAATTGTGATCTTCTATTTTAATTTGCATATTAATCGGATGTGTTTGGGTGATTATTTTAGAAGTTAAGTTTAGAATATGAAAAAGTATAGTCTTATGATTGTGACTTATTTTTTTTCTTATTTCATCATATCTAGTACGACTGTTAGACACGTATGGATACGTATATATTTCTAGTAGTCTGATTTCTCGGGTCTAGTAACTACGACTTTATTCAGCGCAGCGATCGCTGACTTTGCGTCAAGCAAGTCAACCACCGGCCTAACTATGTCAAACGTTTTACATAATTAGCATAAATCGAATACAGCACAGTTATAAATAAATATTCAGTGAGGAAGCTTTTTGTTTCTCGAGCCTATGAATAAATTCATCGGTAGGCTCATTTGAGCCTTCAATCAAATGATGATATTTTCCAATCTTATACCAATTAAAGCGGATGTAACAAATCATCTTTTATTCATCACACAATAAAGATCCATAAATTGCTTTCAATAATAAAAAAATAATTTCGTGTTAGATATAATCATTATGATCAGATATTAATATGTATAAAGCACTTAAAAAGTTAACGAAATATAATGCGGCTTCCCCTAAACATGATTATTTAGTTAGTCCCTTACGCCTTTTAGACGTAGATGGATTTTGTTATTTATTTTAACATAATAACACAGATGCTCTTTCAGCTATGCGAACCCAAAAAGCTGACCAATTTTCCTTTTTAATGCACGCCTTGATCAAAGGGCGGGCGGCGAAGCGACGACAAAATAACTCGTCGGCTCATAAAATTCATTATTTCGGTCCATCCAAGTCAACAAGCATGTTTTCGTAACCCTTCCATTAACAAAATACACAACACTTACAATAATTAGAAAGTTAGTTTAAAAAAAATGATAATAAAAAATTAAAATTTTATTCATCAGTCAACAAGACTTAAAACGAAAACAATTTAGCTATATTCTGTATGAACGAATCCGCAGAGCTCTTCACATAACTTGTCAAACTTTCTTTGAAAGCATTCAAATTGAAGTCTACTAGATATTGTAGTTCACCGACAGAAACTTGCAAAGGAAAATTCGGGATTGCTAGTAAAGGCTTTGATACTTTTTCGAGGTTGTCAAGCCACGGGAGCCAAATAAAGTCGTGCAGTGCTGGATTTGCTCTTGGATCTAGCGTTGGTTCTTGCCGCGGATTTATAGCGGCCCAGTATGCCCGCAGACGAAGAACCATATGTTGGACAAACTGTGGGTGGGTGTCCCACAAATCTTTCGATTCTGCTGGATCCACGCTCAAGTCAAACAGACAACCTTTCGCTAAAACAAAAGTAAAATATATAAATTATTGTTTGCATCCTAAACATTAATAAAACAAACTGCCTTCTATTTATACGTCAAATTACGAACCGTTTGTTGGTATACAAAGTCGTTCGGCGTCTGTATTATTAATATGCCGGTATAAATCAGAATAATTTCGCTTCGTAGCGGCCATTTCCAGGTCTATGTTTATAAATAGAGTTTCCCTGAACACTCGCGCTGTGTCTGAGCTCAACAGAACATTTTCATATAAAAATCCGGGAATTCTAGATTTCTTTAGCTCCATGCCGTAGTAGTTGCTTTGTTGTGGTTCTACTTTGCCTATAATTATTTTGTAATTGCCTTCTCTGAATGCTGCGTATTCTTTTAGGTCATCGGTTGTTATCAATACGTCTTGTCGGGGAGATGGTTCATCTTTAGTTAGGGCATTCCATTGATTGAAACCATCTATTGTACTATTATATTCTCCTCCCGCAGCAGCTATTAGTGTCGGCATCCAGTCAGTGACGTGAAACAATCCAGGCCAAATTTTAGAGGGCATTGCTGCGTGCCATATAACCGCCGTCGTGCGCACCGCACCTTCCCAAGGCGTGCCTTTTGTGCCCCGCAGAGGTAAATTTGACCCGAAATTTCGATTTAATCCCGTTGAAGCTGCACCATTATCCGAAATCAAAACCACGATAGTGTTATTGAGGAGTTCTCTCTCGGCTAGTGCGGATATAACGTGGCCGATGCTCCGATCTAAGCCGGTAACGAGACCTGTTGAGATATCAGAACACACCGGTTAATTGATACAGCCTCCACTGTGCAATTGTATTGAACACACAGGCCCTGATTGGCCTGCAAACAATATTTGTATAGGTATTCGATCTTGTGTTGGTTATAATGGATGTTTGCTAATAGTTAATAAAGTACTACACCTGTAATCTTAGATAGAACAGTAAGCACAGTGGCTGGGCAGTTGAAGTGGGTTCCTGATCAACTTTTTGTATATCCACAAATTGTAATATGAGTGCATGTGAAATTGTAAAAATTCCTAGTGTGGGGCAGTCCAAAATGTACATTATACATTACAGATTAATATTCAAAATTAGTATTTTTACGTAGGTATAAATTATAGTCAGAGTCTACTTTAAACTGTAACAATCAAACTCAGAAACGGAGAAGCACAGCAACTTTGTCTGTACACTATCCACACTCATTAAAATTTATATAAATAAGAGTTACCTAGCTAGTGTCTTAGTCTTTATCTTGCCAAGATCAAGATTGAGCTTCAATTATAACTATAACATTGGAAGTCTTATCATTGTGTTCGTAACTTAATTGTCAATTACGAATGGCCATATTGGTTACCTCAGTTGGCAATCTTAGAAGCTTTGTGGGTTAAGTACCTACTGTTTTATACATCGAACTAGTGCAGTATCTTCTTAGTCATTGACGAGAGCTATATTAATAATCCTTTGTGGTTATAATAGGTATGTTAGACCAGTTTATAAGCAAACGCCAAACAATTTCTGACTACGGTATCTTAATGACGATTACAAAGTGGGAAAGCAATTATAATAGCTCATACATTGTTACATAGGACTTACAACATAATTAGTGGAAATTGTCTGATATGGTTCAATACTCGTATTATGTAGTGTACATCTAGTTACCTGTTCAATAAACCCCGTGATAACGAAGTCAAGAAATTCCTATCCTATCCATAAATCGTTATTTTTATGGGATAGGTCAGCAAACATATAATACATAATAATATACCAAAGACTTATGTGAAACTGATTTAAAAAGAGTTACCATGGAATATTTGGCTCATTCTTCTGGATTAAAATGAACGAACAAACAGCGTCACTAAGAGGACTGACCGATAGACTGACATGTTTTATCTTTAATGTTTGTTTGACGTTCAAAAGTGTCTGTAAGGGTCTTATTGGTGTAAATTTATTTGACTTTTTGACTTTTAACAAAGAGACTGTTCACCTGATGGTAAGCAATCGGCGACGCACAAGAACACTCTAAACAAGAAAGGAGTAACACGTGCATTCCTGGCTTTAAATGAGTTATTACAAATTTGGAGATTCGTCTTTCGATAAGCTCACCCATACGGCAAAACAAAACATAATCGTAGTTCCACTCCGGGTTTCTAAGAGGTCCTGGTATCAGTCTGGTCGAGCCAGTCTATACGGATACCTAGCTCTCCCTTACTTTTTTTTTTATGGGATAAGTCGGCAAACGAGCAGACGCATTACCTGACGGTAAGCAATCGGCGCCGCCCATGGAACACCCGCAACACCAAAGGAGCTACGAGTGCGTTGCCGGCCTTTTGGGGATAGGGGTTGCGAATATAAGGATTGGGAAGGGATAGGGGAAGGGGAGGGATTGGGCCGCCGATAACCTCACTCACACGGCGAAACTCAACGCTGTAGGTTGTTTCACGCCGGTATTCTGTGAGGCCGTGGTATCACTCCGGTCGAGCCGACCCATTCGTGCTGAAGCTTGGCTCTCCCACACTTACTTGTTAAAATAAACTTAAATAAAAAATAACTAAACATTACCGGCGTATAATCTTCTTGGTGAATGTGCGATGTGATCATTAGCTGCAATGAGGTCCTCAGGGGTTTGGAGGTTAACAAAACCCCCTCCAACGTGAGGAGCTGCATGTGACATGTGAAGGTAGAGCGGCACTGATGTATCGTGGTTCCTTATCACTGCAATATGATAGGTAATGTAATCTAAGCTATGACATTTAGGTATTAGTTATATGGTTATAGGTATCATGTTATTTGATACCTGTTAATTATATAGTACAGTACCTAATACTGTCATAGAAATAGGTCTAATCCTTATACATAGTATCTATAGTACTAAATCTAAGACTAAATTACCTACGCTCTCGACTAGCTATACTAGCTCTACTAGCTCTACTAGCTCAGTTACTTTACTGGCTGGGCAAATGGCTGCTGCTCCAAGTGTCCTAGGTAGGAGACAAGTCAAATTGTGATGTACAAATTTTTGTTCCGCTTCTAAGGTTAGGTAAAGTTGGTCTTAAGGTGTGGTACGTGATTTTTTTGTATTTATAAACGGGAAAAGATGTTAATGGGGAGTAATGTTTATTTTGTTTGAACTTACACATCAAGAATACTTTTTTAAAACAACAAAAGAAATAGTAGCTTCTAAAAATAGTTTTTAATAAAGTCTATTATTTAATAAACACTACATTCATTAGAATGATTAGTTTGAAACTAAAAACGTGACGAAAATAGAAACTAATACGGAAATTTAAAATAAGAACTCTTCGGAAGTAATTAATGCCCAAGCCCAAAAAGTTTCAATCAAACTTTCTTATGAAAAAAATTTAATACTATACCTTGATAAACTGGCCTACATAATATTTTTACCGCATATATTTACTTAACTAAATAACTAAAAATATATTTATGTAAAGTGTCGCAATTCACAACTGTTCTTCATATTCGAAAATAACAAACATGAATTGAATTTATAAAGCAACATGTGATTAACCACATCATAAAATATTGAAATAAAAAACTCTCTGAACTTCCTAACTCTGTGTACATCAATAAAAATTTGAGCTACTAATAAATATTAAAACGTGAACGTTACAAATATTTTAATTACAGAATTTAATACAGGTACAGGATGTTTTTAAATTGGACGATCATTTTAGATACCTACTACTCGATATCAATTTTATTTTATAAGCCAAATACTTTATTGCACTGAGTGTAATCAGTGAAAATATTTTTCAAATATGAAAATTTAAAGTAAAATTAGTTTTTTTGGTACAAAGTGTTCGTAAATTTTAATTTTGCTTTCGATTTTCTTACTAAGCCTCAATTCACTTTAGGCTCTGTACACATTATCTGAGTGATTTTTAACTTCGACTAAACTTTATCTTGTACTTATTTATGAGGTAAGCTAAACCAGTAAGCCCTTGGTTTGGTCCAAAATAACTCGACTTTAAAATGTTACTCACGAATTTAGGTACAGCCTGTATAAATGTTTGTACATACGTTTCACAGCTCGATCAGTCAGTACTTCAGTGAGATGGCCCCTTTGATCTTCAACCGGCTCCAAATTATTAAAAAAGTCCAGTCCATAAAATACTGTTTCGTTCCATGTCTGTAAGAATTGTGACGATTCTTTTTAGAAAACTGGGCTTACAAAGTACTAGTACTTGTCGTTTATAATTATCTATATGGACTTTTAGTCAGTTTAACGATCGTCACCATTATCATCATCTGGAAAACGACCACCGCTGAACAAAGGCCTCCCCCTTAAAGGGAGGGCGTTGCCATAATCCCCACACTTGGCAAGCGGTTTGGGGATCACAGTTAGGTCACCGATTTATGAATCCCCATTCCACGGAGTCTGGTGCCAGTTTAAGGAAGTACCCAAATCCCAGATCAGTTTCAAGATAGTCTTAAATAAGTTTTAAATAATATCACTATTATCTAATATCAGTAATTTCCTAGAGATATAGATCTAGCGATTTTTAAGCTAAAACAAAAAACAAAAACTCTTGAACTTGATTCGTTTATCTGGGGCAAGAATTTATTTATAGATGTTTATATTTACGTAAATATGAATCCATTTCTAAAGACCAGAAACTAATTCATGTTTTTGAAAAAAGAAGAAAAAAGAATATCATATGTCAAAAAATAAACGTTAGAAGTTGTCCTCGCATTATTTAAAGCCAGCTAAATAAAACGAGTAAAAACATAAAGAACATTCTAGGCTACGTATTCGTTAGTTGAAACAAAAGGGGATTTCTTTTCTTCCCTTTAACAATGCTTTGTGCTCTAAATACCTTAACATAAAGATATACAGGATGACCATACCAAGGCACCTAAGCGTATCTTGCGTTTAATCTTATAAGCGGTTTCAGTTTAAGTCATAAATCTACATTTTAACTTAATACCTGACTTAAGAGTAATAAAGATATATATTAGATCCAATATTAGAGAAACAAAAAAAGAACACACTGTGTATGATTTCTTTGACCTGCTTTGACATAACACCTTAGTTATAAATCACCCTGTATAACTATGTATACATATTATAGACACTCACACATACATACCTCAACGTGATTATACGTGTAGTAATCCACACTACTGCCAGAGAAGCCGTAGAATGTATCAAAGCCTCTATTAGTGGGTAGATAATGTTCCCTGGATTTACCAAGGCCCCATTTACCTATCAAATGTGTGGCATAGCCCAATTCTTGTAAATACTGCGGCAGGAGAACCTCTGTGGTGGGCAGGCCGCGGTCCTCAGCCGAGGCGATCGAAATTCCTTGAGTACCTTTACATTAAATTGTAGCTTAGAGAATGATTAGGTAGTATAGAATTATATTAAGCATTATTTTATTTGGTCAGTGTACATATGTTCTTACATGGGTATTTTTTTGTGAACTGTTCCCATATGATGTCCTATATATTTTAACGCGGTCGACATTGTTCCCACATGCATAATATAAACAATATTGGATTGAAATTGTGACAGTCTGATTGGACAAAATATGTTTTTAAAAGATTAAAGTTATAGTTGCTTGCTCATTTTCTCCTTAAGAATCGACATTTTGGACAACCCAAAGTTGACGTTTCATAGTCTTTGATTTAGTATAGGCATCGAAAGCTAGCTAATGAAATTGTTATGAGTGCGATGTGTATAACTACAGTATATTTTCATTTAGTCCAAAACTCAAACGTATTCTTAACTGAAGGTAAAATACGGTCGTACCCATTTTCCTAGAAATAGAAATCCCGTATAATCGACTGAGCCGCAAACGTCAAGTGACAATTGTAACCTGTTTGATCCAAAGTACTTAATTCGCGTTTTAATTGTTAGGTACAAAACTTATTTGTAAATCGACCGTATTTTTTCAATTTCCAGTTACGAATAGCTCTTTTACTTCAATATGAAATTGTGCGTAAACAAAAGCCCTTCTTCAAAGAAATAAATCATGACTAGAAGTAAAATAAGCCGTGAATCGTTAAGAAAATTACGTAACAAAACCTTGATATACCGGCAATATTAATGTCTTAAATTAAATGATATATTTACTGTAATAATTTCGTTTTGATTTCCCATACCTATAAATTAATTGAATTGGCCATTATTTCTAAGCGGATAATGTTTTTGTAATAAGTAGTTGCCAACCTACTTCGCGGATAATTGATATATATTTTCAATAGGGAAGACTTAGTTTTACATGAATTTATGCCAAGATCTTTTAGTAGATGCTTAATTAATTAAGTACTGAACAGATTCTACATTAAAGGGACACTAGAAATAGATAAGGTATGAGTACAAGGATAATATAATTCGGTTACAAGAATCAAATTCACGCGAACAACAACAAAATGATCCATAAATAACTTACAAGAATATACAAGCAAATTAACCTTTCAGCGAAATAACTCGCTACCTACCAAAAAGGCAACTAAACAGTCTCCTTAAAATATTACACAGATAAATTCAGGGGAGCATCGCATAAGAAAGCGCTTTATTCGCTTTTAAGACGTACCCATTCTTAAAGGATATTTTCCGGTGAAAAGCGCGCTCCTCGCCGGCGTTCCTCGTGTGTCGGTGTAGTACTGCGGTATTATGATGCCCTGGTATGCCAACATGTCTATGTTCGGAGTCATTATTTGATCCGAGCCGTGGAAACTCACGTCGCTCCAACCCTGTTAATGATAAAACATGATTTTGCGGTGTAGGTGTAGGTTCTGGCATATTTACGCCAAAAACTTCCAAATGGAAATAAGTTGCTGTTTAAGTTTGGAGGTACAACATTATTTGGTGATACGTTTTGTTTCTTTTTTGATAAAGAAAAGTGTATTTTAATATGGTATTTAAGTATCTTCAGACTGTCTATTGTCCTTAAGGTTACTTTCTTTTTATATTTGAATAAATATGAGTGTTACACTGTTCTCACATAATTGAACCAACTGTTTGTAAAAGGAATCTGTATGTGAAACTGATTTAAAAGGAGTAACCATGGCGTGTCTTGCTCGTTCTTCTCCATCGGAATCTACTCTTTGAAACGAGCAAATAGCTTCACTAAGAGGACTGACCGACAGACTGACACTATATCTTTAAAATTTTGTTTGACGTTCAAAAGTGCCTGTAAGGGTCTAATTGGAATAAATGATTTTTGAGTTTTTGACTTTTTAAAGGAAATTTACAAAACGTGTTCGAAACCTGGCATGTGACTTTTTCCAAATTATATGTAATTTCTATGATTATTTAGACACCAATGACAACAGTGAAGGAACACATCGTAAGGAAACTGACGATCCCATTCTAGGAACATTTCAATTAAAATTTTGAGCAAGCGTGGTGACTAATGCTCGAACCTTCTCCATGTGAAAAGAGGTCTTTGGTCATAAGTAGACACATTCAGTTTAAACAAGAAGAAAGTTGTTGGTTGATTTATCGGTAAGCAGAAATTTGTAGGTCTAATTTAGGTTGGATACAAAAATAAGTAGGTTGGACTGCCCTTAAAAATAATTGCTGGAACATTAACCAAAAATCTGGTTATTAATAACCCCTTTCCCAAGAGTAGCGGAATATTAATTTCTTAATTATATTAAGCCTTCTCGGTACCCGTGAGATTCCAGAACGCTTCTTCACTTAATCCAAATATAACAGTCTGGATCTAACATCTTAGGCGTTTATAAAATTCATAGAGGTCTCAAAGGGATTTAAAATGTACTTACAATATTTTAGTTTTCCAACTGTAAATTATAATAATACTATTTATGTACAAATTACAAAGGGTAACCACACTAACTAAATTTATGCTGAACCCGTCTTCTTTTATATAAAAAATGGCTTATTGACCATCTTGTTTTCTAAGGGTCATTCAATGATCACTTCCTAAAACTGTTTCTAAGCAATGTTTTTGTTCCCAAATTATTGATAATCAAGGTAGTCTAAATACGGTTTAATCAAATTTATTAGCACATTTTTCTTGGCATTTTATTCGGTATTTTTAAAACTTTTCCGTTACAGGCGAGGTGATTGGACAGACCAGATGAGGCTAACAAAACGACTGTTTTATTATTTACATAAGTACGATAGGTAGATTGTAATATAAAGCACATAGTCGCCAAATGAAAGACAACATTGTAACTTTACTTACCAAATCATCAGCAACAATGAAAACTATATTCGGCTTGGACAAACTTTCACACTTAATTAAAACCACAAGTGACGCGAGAACACTGAAACAAATAGGAACTTTGAAACTCAAACTATTACAAAGCCAATTGAATATTATCATACAAATAACTCACTAAAATATTAGACTCATTTTGCCGGTCAGGTGCAAACTTCTTCTAAAACTGTCCAAGTAAAATGCTTGATAACATAGCAATCACATTATTTATGTACATAGCATAGTGCCACGACTAGCGGAGTAAATAGCGAGAAGGAAAATAGCGGAAAATCTAAATGAAAGAAATACACTGACTTCTAAGAATTCTCAAAAGGCTACGACAACTTTTTTTATTATTAAGAACGGACGCATTTTAAAGTTCTTTTTGAATATCAAAGAGTAGTACGGAGACGTGAGTTGATTTTGTAGGTAGACTTGAAGTGCCATTTGGAAAATATACTTAGATGAGAAAGTACTAGATAAATTAAAAATACATTAGAATGTCTTTGGATAGACAGTGTTGTAAATAAAGAATATAGTTTGAACTACATGTATCACATACGTTTATCAGGTACTTGTATGAAGGTGTTGAAAAAGGTCCTCGGCCAAAAAACGTCCCTATGTCTTTCTTATGTTATCACAAAATGCATGATGTCATAACATTTTCAAGAGGACAGACAACAACCTGCAGCCAGCGTACTCATTTCTGTAATTTTTTCAATTAAAATTAATAGTTTAATAGTTAGAAAATTAGTAGTTTTTGTATGGACTAGATAAATAAAAACATACAACCAATAAGATAAAGTTGAAAAAACATAATATACTGGGACTTATGTATTTTTTTCAAGGACGTTACCCAACGTGGATTTCCCAAACATTTTCCGCTCCGTTCATCAATAAATCACCAGGTTTATTCTCACCATCTGTGTCAATACTAAAATTATCATGTATATACATTAGTAGCCTAATTTTGTTCCGAGAACAAAACCTCTGCATGACGAACTTATTTGTTTAATAGAAATCGTTTTACCTAAGTGTTAGGTTGGTAAACCTAGCGACGAATGCGCACCGTAATGTTGGTATGACATGCGCGGGCTGCGTACCGCGCGTTCCCGCCTATTTTTAAAAAATAAATTAGTGTGCCACAGATTAGCGAGTTTGATTGACGTATTGCATCGTTCCCGTTTCCCGCGCAAATACATTACAAGTGGCGACGAGGGGACTCACATTTTGAAAAATGTCCACGGGAGCGACTTTTGGCGTTCTTACAACGTTTGACCACTCATCACAAGAGTGGAACAACTTTAAGTTGCGATTAGAACAATGGTTTATCGCTAATAATATAAATTTTGAAACCGACAAGGCAACCATCAAGCGTCGGGCAATACTGTTAACGTCATTATGTGAATCGACATTCAAGCTTATTAGTGACCTGGCGTTACCGAACAAGGTGGAAGAATTGGGTTACGACGCGATTGTCAAACTACTCGACAGTCATTTTACACCAAAAAGGTTCGGGTTTGCAGAGAAGTCCATTTTCTATGCAGCGACCCAGCGACCAGGCGAAACGCACACTCAATGGGCGGCCAGAATTAGAGGATTGGCAGCGCACTGCGCATTCAAAAATTTGGAGGAAGCCTTACTGGACAAATTCATCATGGGCATGGCACCGGGACGTGAGCGCGACAAGTTGTTCGTACAGGACCAGCAGGAGCTGACTCTCGCAAAGGCGATCGACTTGGCGGAGAGCGTGCGTTGTGCACGCCAGGCGTCGGCGGTGCCGGCGGCGGCGGCGGCGGCGGCCGGGCCGGTCGCAGCGGCCACAGATGGTGTCTTCAGTATCTCCAAGAAAGAGAAGTGCAGTGTGTGTGGGTTCACCAATCATAAATCCAGTCAGTGCCGGTATAAAAATTTCAGGTGTAAAAAGTGCAACATTAAAGGTCATTTGCGTAAAATGTGCCCTAACGAGGGTAGAGTGAAGTATGTCGAACAAGGTACTGTGGACGACGGTGGCGAAGACGGTGAGTGTTTTTATAATATTCGGTGCACAAAAGGGAAACCGATGACAGAGCGAATGACGGTCAGTGGTCTAACCTTGGAGTTCGAGATTGATAGCGGTTCCGCGGTGAGCGTAATTTCAGAGAGAACTTACAATTCGAATTTTAAACAGTTGCCATTGTCAGTCACTAAAAAACGACTATATAGTTATACGGGGGAAAACATCGTAACTATTGGAGTTGTGTTGTTGCCTATATCTTACTTAGGTCGCACACATACACTTAACGTGTACGTAGTGCGCGGCGATGGGCCTCCGCTGCTGGGCCGCGACTTTATTCGCGAGTTCAACCTCGAGCTAGCGCCGGCGGCCGCGGAGCCCGCGACGGCGCGCGTGCACGTCGTGAGTCAGCAGACGCCTTGCGAGTCTCATATTAGTATTAATAAGGAACTTTGTAAAATGTTTCCCAAACTTTTCTCAGGTAGTCTCGGATCGTTTAATAAATATAAAATTGACTTACAGTTAAAACGTGATGCACGGCCAATTTTTTTTAAGGCGAGACCCGTTCCTTTTGCTCTAAGGGAGAAACTAGACGAGGAGCTTGACCGGTTATTAGCGTTAGGCATTTTAAAACCCGTAGAAAACTCCGACTATGCATCGCCCGTTGTGCCCGTACTAAAGAAAAACGGTAGCATTAGACTGTGTGCTGACTACTCGGTTACAATCAATAAACAATTGGTAATTGACAAATATCCTTTGCCAACGGTAAATGATTTACTAGCTAAGCTACACGGGGGCGTACAATTTAGTAAGATAGATTTATCTATGGCGTATAACCAATTTATTTTAAATGAAAAGTCGCAAATGTTAACTTGTATCAATACTCATCGCGGTCTTTTTAAGTTTACACGATTAGTGTTCGGGTTGTCTAGCGCACCAGCCATATTCCAACGCGCGATGGAATGTTTATTATCAGGAATTGAAGGTATCATCTTTCTATTGGACGACATTCTGATAACGGGCTCAAATAGACACCAACACAAAACAAGACTCACTACGGTCTTGCAACGCTTAGATGATGCGGGGTTAACTGTACAAATGAATAAATGTGAATTTTTTAAGGATGAAATTTCATACCTAGGCCACGTCATAGATAAACACGGGGTCAGAAAATCGCCAGATAAAGTTAAAGCAATTTTGCAAGCTCCCAAACCGACAAACCTAACACAGTTACAGTCGTTTTTAGGTCTAACAAATTATTACCGTAACTTTGTGCCAGACGCGTCATCGATTTTAAGTCCATTATATGATTTACTAAGTAAAAAGAAAGAAAAGAAAGAAAGAAAGAAAAAAACATTTATTCTTGCGCAAGCGCACACACATAAAACTAAAATACAAAAAAAGAAGAAAATAAAATAATACAAAAAATCTAAACTAAATGACACATAAAAATAAAATGGTTTTTAGAAACAAACTAATAACAAAAGAAAAAACAAAAAGTTTTGTCTATGGTCCACAGTTATGCGCGAGGTCGCGTGGTATTTTATTATCTGTGGACCATAAGGACAAGATAGTAACATTTGTGTTTAACAAACAATAACAAAGAACATTTAATAATTTAATTATATTGATAATTTCCTCCTTACTACTGTTATAACAATATAATGTGGTACGAGCGCAAAAAATGGACATGCTCAGCATTTGCTGAGACCCCAACCACAAGGGATTGGTGCCACAGCGCTGATTTTCAGCATATCCTTGGGTGACGTGATGAAAAACACAAAGTGGGAATGGACAAGTAGGCACAATGACGCGTTTGTCCGAATAAAAAATATTTTAGCGTCTGATAGAACCCTGGCACATTTCGATCCAAATGCTAAGTTAATACTAACGGTAGACGCGTCACCGACGGGACTGGGTGCAGTTCTGTCGCAAGTAGGTCCGGATGAGTTAGAGCGGCCCATATCGTACGCTTCCCGAACATTATCGCCAGCGGAAAAAAACTACGCACAGATCCAAAAGGAAGCGACAGCTATCATTTTTGGTGTTAAGAGGTTCCATCAGTACCTGTATGGTCGTTCACAGCCTTTCGTGCTCAGAACTGACCATAAACCCCTCCTGTCTATATTTGGGCCCTATAAAGGTATTCCCGAAGTATCCGCTAATCGCTTGCAAAGATATGCTATATTTCTAGCCGCATATAATTATGTAATTGAGTACATTGGTAGTAAGCAAAACAGTGCAGATTATTTATCTCGCGCGCACGGCGATGACAGCAAGACAGAAACAGCGGACGAGCTCACGGAATGCGAGGACCGCGCGGCTTACGTGAATTTCGTAGTGGACGGCGATTTCCCTGTCACTTTAAATGATTTGCGTCGAGAAACAGCTAAAGACACTAACCTGACCACTATTAAAATTACGTGTTAAACGGGTGGCCTAGGAAGGTTACTGACGCTGCGTTACAACCATTTTTCAATTGTCGAACTCAGTTATCTTACGAAAGCGGTATATTAATGCGGGGACATAAGGTGGTTATTCCGCCGACTTTGCAAGAAAATATATGCAGGGAATTGCATAGTTCGCATTTCGGCGTCGTCAAGATGAAGGCAGAGGCTCGCAAGCGATTGTGGTTCCCTGGCGTGGACGCTGCGCTGGAACGGGTGGCGGGTGCGTGCGCGGTGTGCGCGGCATTGCGCCCCGCGCCGCCGCACGCTCCTCTTGCACCTTGGCCGCTGCCTCCGCAACCATTTTACCGAATTCATATAGATTTCTTAGGGCCGTTTCACAACTACATGTTTTTAATTATTGTAGACGCATACAGTAAATGGGTCGAGTGTTATAGCATGGCATCATCCTATAATTCAAAGTCAGTCATAACTAAAATTAACGAATTTATGTCTCGGTTTGGTATTCCACATACTTTGGTGAGTGACAATGGCACATCGTTTACATCATTCGAATTCAAAGAGTTTTGTAAGCTTAACGGTATCGAACATTTGTATTCACCTGCGTATCACCCGGCCAGTAATGGACAAGCCGAAAGTTTTGTTAAAATCATCAAAAAGGGGTTAAAGGCTATAATGTTACAAGGGTGTAATAAATTTTCAATACATGACAAAATTGCTAAATATTTATTCGATTACAGGAACTCCAAGAATAGTACCACTGGTAAGTCACCCGCAGAATTAGTATTTGGGCGTTCGTTGCGCTCACGGCTTGATTTATTGAACCCTTTCGCATCGCCTTCGTCATCGACGTCCAAAGACCTAACGCAAACCGTCGCGCGTAAGCAGTCCTTACAGGCTAAATATTATCGCGGTGTTAAGACCAGACTTCAAAGTTAACGACCTTGTCTGGATAACTAAGAATATTAATAACAACAAAATCGGTTGGCTCGAAGGTATTATAAGAAAAAAAATCGGGAATGTCATGTACGCTGTGTACGTGCCGCAGTTGAATGGTGAAGTCACCAGGCATATGGACCAAATAAGAAAAAGACTGCTTTCATCATCAATGGCAACCGGGGAAGAACAGGACTGGGACCCCGACGTGATTCCGGATGTGGCGTCGCCTGCTACCGACCACGACGAGCCTGTCATACAACCAGAGAGGGAAGAAGAGGCGACAACTGGCCCAGTACAAGCTACGGCCGCGCCGGGTTCAGACCCTACACCTCCTGGGACGTCACCGGAGACCTCGCCGTGCAGCTCCCGCGTCGTTTCGCCCTTCAGGCGAAGGGCAATTAGCCCAATCTTTTCGACACCTTAGTCGACCTAGGACTCTGGAGTTTAGTTTTATTAAGTAGATTTAACTAGTACTTAGGCGATAAGCTAAGCGTTATATTCCCTATCTTAGGGGGGAGAGATGTTAGGTTGGTAAACCTAGCGACGAATGCGCACCGTAATGTTGGTATGACATGCGCGGGCTGCGTAACGCGCGTTCCCGCCTATTTTTAAAAAATAAATTAGTGTGCCACAGATTAGCGAGTTTGATTGACGTATTGCATCGTTCCCGTTTCCCGCGCAAATACATTACACTAAGTTTTTCAAGTAATAAAATGACGTGTAGTGTTTATTACGTAAATAGTAATATATGTACATACTATACATGAATACCTCTTTATCTATCTAAATAATTATGTATAATAGTTAAAGAACATTATTGTTTTGTGTTAGACTAGCTTTGTCCTGCCATTTTTACCTAATGATTTATTTATCAATTTTCTCAATAAATGCTTCGATATTTTTAACTGCTGACTTAATCAAACTCAATCTACACATGATTACTTCTTAATATTGTCATTTTAACTGCACATCAATTTTAATTACATTTTAATAATAAAATTTACAATGCCATTTCTTAAATCGAATGCAATCCAATCTGCTGATGCAGAAGACACACCGGACGTCGAGGAACGCGCGACGGCCGATTTTGGACAACCAGTTTGAGGAACAAGAGCAAAGGTAGCTCGCCAACCGACTAGAACCAAACTCCAGCATATGGCAGGGCCCACGAAAGCCAGTGTCCAGACGAGGTTGCAGGTGCAAGCGAAAATATTTGTGACGGGCCCCGGGTCAGAGTACGAGAAGGAACGGGGTGGTTTTTAGAAAATATAAGAATCTAACACTTCTTCTCGCATCATCCATGGCGAGAGAAGACATTGAAAAATTAAACGTCCTTAAAAAATATATCTAAAAATAGTTCGAATGGATTTGAGGATTTATTAGAAAAGAAAATCATGTTTACAGAATGAAATAGTGCACAATAGTAAGGATTCAATTTCTTTAATGAGATGAAGCCGTTTGAATGAATCTATTATCATTATTTATATTTGATTTCATAAAATAATCTCGAAAGGCTTACAAAGAAATTATATCAGTCTATTGAATTTTGGTACTATTGAGAGAAGTCTTTGAAAAGTATTTTTGTTAAATAAATATTTACTTAGTAGTTATTACATTTTTAAATAGGAGATATTTTGGTAGGTGTATTAATATTAGATCATCTATAATCTTCTGCGAAAAGACAAGCAGGTGTATACATACTCACTATGACACACACATATATACCAAGCATCTATTATTGTCCTATTATAGAAATTTAATTAAAGTTGATCCAGTAACTTTAAAACCTTATTAGTACATGGTACTCATAACATACCTAATTGGAGAGAAGAAGGCATTCGCGATTAATTGTCAACATTGAGTAAACCATACTTATTCTATGGATTTAATACGAGAGGTACTTTCTATGATTATTTAGACACTACTGACATACGGTGAAGGTAAACATCGTGAGGAAACCTGGACTTATAATTTCTAATTATAAGTTTGAAATCGCCAACCCGCATTGAGCAAGCGTGGTGATTAATGCTCAAACCTTCTCCGTATGAGAAGATGCCTTTGTTCAGCAATGGACACTTATAGGCTGATGATGATGATGATGATGATGAATACGAGAGGTATACTTATACGAGAGGTATTTTTGTTTTACTATCACATGTGTGTTAATTTAGAATACCTATTTATTGTTGATTGTGTCTAATTACGTTTTGTGTTTCATTGTGCCTAACTTTGTATGTCTGTCTATGTTTTAATATTATAATTTTAAATACATTTTTGCATGATGTGGCCTCCTGTAATTGAGGAAGCACACAGTTTTTATATTATGATTGTTATTATCGTGAATGCTTTGTGTATTTCTTGTCGGAGACCCTTAAATTAAATAAATTAATAATTGGATAGAATTATAATTGGGTAGAGATATTAAAAAAATCCATGTATTATATGTAAGGTTATTTTTTAAATATTTTATTGCATTAAAGAGGCGAATTGTACATATATATGTGTGTATGCATAAATCTTTAAAACTGCGTACGGGATTCAGATCCGGTTTTTTCAATAGATAGAATAATTGAATAGGAAGGTGTATAGGAATATATATTAACATCCATTAAGCCGTGGAAAATGTAGAAGGCGCTAGATGACCAATAAAACTACCCAATTCCAACATCCCTACTTCCGACATTATAAAACATAAGAAAATTTCCTAACAGTTCAAAGTTACTGAAAAATAAGGTTAAAAACATTTCAACTTGAAAAATAGGGCGGTGTAAAAACAACAGATTCAACCAAGTTTTTGCTATAAAACAACAATTTGCATGAGAAATGAGAACATCTGGCTCCATCAGTTGCGGTATCAGGAAGACAATATAATTAGTTAAGGAACTCGTAAAAATATATAACAAATTATTATTTAGTATAGCCTACATCAAAATGGACCCTTTACAACTTTTTATACTTTCTATACAGTGTTATATAATATGTACATGAAGTGGATTATAATTATAATATATATAGTAGATAGGTCTTTACCAATAAACTATTTTTGAATTGTTACTTTTTTTTTGTCAGGGAAAAATCATCAAATGAGTTCTCCCGCCCAGGGTTTGGCGAGAGAGTCAGACTTTTACTGAATAAAAACCCCCGTTTCTCCTCCTGCTCTGGGCCGAGGCCGCGGTGACTCATTGCGCTTTCCCCGCAACCCC